GGGGACCCCCTCCAAAAAATGGACGTCTAATTATTGGACAACTCTATATTGACATGTTTCCAGCAGGGCCTTTTTCCTACTCAGCCTCTGGATCAGGTACATGTACAATATCCAGTTTATGGTTTAGGGTTCCAGGTGTGTTGTGGGTTTCGGTTTAGAGTTTGGGGCTTAGAGTTTAGGCTTCAGGGGGACAGACCCTTTGCTGAGCAACCTCTATGTTCCCTTCTAAGTACCTTGTAAGAGTCCTGTGCTTTTGTGTCCTTTAATTCCCTACGAACAACCAGCAAAGTTGACCCTAAACCGTAAAGCCTTCACATTCGCGTATGGATTGTTTCCATGTCGCGTTCCATTTGCTGTTCCCTTTGTTCTTGGTACCAACAAACCTGAACCCTGTCCCTGTAGTATTTGCCACTCTCTTTAAATCAATAGTGTCCGGATAAAAGCCCCAATAAGAGTATAGTTTCCTTTTTACTTTCGGTTGTGCATTCCCTACCAACCATCAGAAGGCTCTAAGACAAAAATCCTAGACCTTGATTTTTAGGCCCTAAATCCTAAATCCTACGCTCTAGATCCAGATCCTAGGTGCTGAGCCCTAAACTCTAACTCCTAAAATAGCACACCTTAAAATCCGACGCCTTCAGCCCTGAATCTGAAATTCTTGCAGGTGTGGAGGCGGCGACTATTCAGCTCTGCAAATGCTTCTGGATTACGCTTGAGGAAATCTAATAATGCAGGCGGCTAGATAATATCCATGATCATGGTCCCTGATTCATTGTACAATTACGGCATAGGGCACCTCAAAAAGACCTCAAAAGATATTGGCGGTTATGTCGCGCGCGCCAGGTACAAACTTCAAAAAATGTTGATTTCCCTCTAAAGGCCTGAAAAAATAGGTTTGCCAGTATTTTCACATTTGAGTAGTACTTTATTTGGGGATACTATGGTACCCATTATAGAGATCCTCCTTTTGGGTATAGAATCTTATATGAGGAATATAATCTTACTGGGTTTAACCACCAAAAAAACATTACTCATTTGCAACAATGCTGAAAATCCTGGGCTCCTGTTCCCCGCGGCACAAACTATTTGAGCCCCTACTGTACATTACGTTGCCATAACGGGTTCCCTTTAGAGGGTTGGTCTAGGCCCCTAAACCCTAAAGGATTTAGCGTTTAGGGTTTGCTGTTAAGGATTGCACGCTCAGTTGCCACAATGACTTCCTCTCAATTGAGCTATAGGGGTGAGGTGGGTTTAGGGTTCAGGGTTTAGGGTGAGACAGGGCTATGGTACCTTAACTTAAGTGGTAGTTTCCCTAAATAGGGAGACCCCAATATAGACCCCAAAATACTATAATCCTTTTTATGGGACTAAACCCTAAAGTGCCCAGGCTTTGCGGGATCACGTGGAACTGCAGGCAGATTGCGCTGGCATCTTCAATTATTTTCCTGTCGTGGATGGTGCGGGACAGGGTGCTTGCGATCGAAGATGGGCTGGGCATTCATAGGTGGGGCTGTCTTAGAATCCTTTTTTTTTGGCGGGTTGTGTATATTTCTGAACATTGGGTTACCCCTAGGTTCAGAGTAGAGTGAACTGTATCATCCTAGGGTAGCATCTCCCATAAGACTCCGGAGAGTACCCTGTGCGTATAAACATAAATCGACACCCCATATACCACCTAATACGTAGGACAGATCCCAAAAAAATGAGGACATCCAGGGTCCAGGTCCTAAGCCCTAAACCCTAATCCCAATATAATCGAAAAGCCTGACATGTTGAAACCTTGCAGGTGGAAATTCACGCTGACGTGGCTGCTCCGCGCCGACTTACTGGTACCCGAACCCCCAAAAGAATATTGAAGAAGAGCTTTTTTTGCTTTTATGTCTGGCTTTTGGGCTATTGTTTCACCTACCTTTGGGAACCCTAAGCTCCAAACCCTAAATCCTAGGTCCTAATTTCTTTTTGGGTCCAGGTGCTGGTGCTATTTACCTTATGCGTGGTCTACCGCCTCGTCTGGGATCCTGAGAATGAGTACTTAGGTGGGAGTTGTTTCAAAACAAGTTGGGCAGTTTAGGGTTTAGAGTACAGGGTGTGCTTAGGGTTTCGGGTTTAGGAGGGCTGTCCCATTTCCTCCCACATCAGGACTCTAAATGTCATGCCTTCATGACCCCTCCTAAGCACTAAGGGTTTAGGGCTGAGCCCTATGTGTATCAATATATATATATATGTATACATTCAGATGTATGCGTGTATAATGTAGAGTCCCTGGGGGTACCCCCTGTCGGAGACATTCCGCAGGTACTGCTGGCAGCATTTGCATGCTGCTCCTCGCTGCAGTCAGCGTCCTCGGATCAGTATTGGAATGATTTGCTTGTTACTCCACATATATATACACATATAGATATATACATATGCCAGATGCTCCCCGCATGATCTGCCGGAGACTGCCTTGTCAGCAGTTAAATTTCTACTTACGCGTTCCAGCAAATATGTTTTCTTCAAGTGTATGAGGAAAGCAGCTCTGTGCTGAGGAATCGGTTTTCTATACCCATACCATCTCCGGATTTTATGTGTACAAAACACCCACTGCCATAAAGAGAAAGCATTCACAGAAACAATCAAAACCGAAAACAAAAAAGGACATCGTTAATTCTAATCAAAATTCTTTTGCGTGCCGCTGTACGACTTCTTCTTGTGAAAGCTTTTGATCAGCAATCAAAGCCTGAAGCAATAGCAGCAATGTACATGATGGAGTCTCGATCTGCTAATTAAATTTCCTGTTGGTTCCGTTAACATTCCGCCTTTAAGTAAAATAGTTCAAACAGTAAAGGAAACCCCTAATTGCTTCTTTTGGGCTCGTTTATCATGTGAGCTAAACCCTTAAAACCAAACCACTAACCGCCCCAAGCCAAAGACACTGCAGCTGCAGGTTCTGATATTGGCAATTGCAGTTTGGGTCCACCTGAACCCACTGAGGCCCTCTTCATACGGCTGATGGTCTACCTGAGATGGATTCAGGGTTGAGGGTCAAGAGCTTTAACATGGGCAGTCTTTTATTTGGGGATACTATGGTACCCAGTATAGAGTAAGATTATCTCCTCCTTGTGGGGTATCGTTTTTTGATATGAGGAATATAATCTTACTAGGCCCAACCATCAAAAAACGTTACTCATATAGAGTTTGACTTTTTTCCAGACCAACTTTCAATTCCATACGGGCCCTATTGCAAGGACAGTAGTACTTGTGAGGGCCCCCTTTTGGGGCTTCCATGTTAGCAGGGGGGATCGTATGGTATCCAGTGGTTCTTCGAGGAGTTATACTATGAGACTAGCTACACATACTCAAGCGGGCTTGCACAGTAGCATCTACGGTTTAGGGTCTGAGAATTGGGGCTCAGGTTGTTGCAGTTTAGGTTTTAGGGGTTTAGGGTTTAGGGTTTAGGGTTTAGGGTGTATAGCTTTTGATACCTCCTGGCAATGTGCGGGCCTTGGCTTTCGTTGAGGCGTCATGGTTTGCAAACCAATTGCTTCTGATCCGTACTGTTGTTTCCCTCCCCCCCGCCCTAGATACTAGCATCCGCAAGATAGAACACTAATTAAGGGGGAACCTTGGGGAACCTAAGCCCAGCACCCTAGACCCAAAAGTACCGGGGGGGGGAAAGGGGGGGGGCTCTGAGGACCCTAAACCCGAAACCCTTTTGCCAATACTTGGGCTGTCAGGCTGGCATTTGCTGTTGTGCGTGGGTCTTATGGACGACGCCGGGAGAATGCGCGCTTTACGGTGAGGATTGTGGTCGCCCACTTGATTGCTACGACTTTATGTGCTGGCACGACCCTTCTGTCCACATCTTGCGATTTCCACTCCCATCTGATTTGGGCATATCACCCAGGGGCTGCCGATCCTTATTACGAACTGTTCAAGACGGCAACATTCGGCCTAGATTTAATCATGAACGCTCTTGCACTGCTCTTCCTTTCAAACCTCATTCAGCTGCCCAAGCACAAAAGGCTGAAGCCTGTGAAGCTCAACACGACGCAGGTGCAGTGTGAAGGGTGGGACCAAAAGGTCGCTGAACTGTCGGCCCGGGGATTGCCCCTGAAAGCCATTCTGAACTTCTATGGAGGCTTGGGCGAGACATACATGACCCATTTTGAAGCTGAGCATCATACAACAGCGGATGTGGTTTGGCAGGCTGTGATTCCCGAAACGGCAGCGGCCGGAGTTGCGTTGTCTACGAAGCTGATGGAAGGAAGAACGCTCCCTGCACAACGCATGGTCACGCATTCATGGTCCAACAAATTCGTCAACTTACTGGCGGCAATTATTGCAGATGGGCTTGGGGAGCCCACCTATGAGGGTATTTCAAAGAGATTGCTCGCAGGTAAGCTGCAGCAGTTGACAGAGGAATTGAGGGAGAAAGGTGCTCTGGAGGTGACTTACTGGGTTTGTGCTTTTTGCATCAACCAACATGCGGGCATCTGTGGCAATACTGCGAGCCCAGATACAGTCACCGGGAAGGTTCCCCCAGTGTGTAGTTGTGAGCACCCGAAGGTCTGGAACCATACGCCACCTTTGAGGGAAGACGGCGAGAGTATTGAATGTGAGCTGAACAAGTTTGATGACGCGATGTCTTGCCTTATGGCAAGTGTACCCAATTTCTCGCAGGTCATTGCTGTGGATGACGGGTTTACGATTTTTCATCGTGCCTGGTGTGTTGCCGAGATCTATTTGGCCTACAGCCAGGACATGCCGCAGCTTCTCAAAGTATTGTCTGCAAAGTCGATGAATCTGGATCAGTGTTAGGGATCCTTGTAATTATTCTTTTTGAGTTTAGGTTTAGGGTTTAGGTTTTAGTGTTTAGGGTCTTTTGGGTAGGAACTGCCCTTTCTGTACAGGAGCGCGGGCTGGGGGCCCAGTCGTGCGTACAGGGGTCTAGGTTTCCTTGCATGCCTGCAGCCAATAGGGTTCAGGGTCTGCGGTTTAGGGGTTTTTTAGTGGCTGAGGAACGAACACAGCAGATCATTGGAGCGACTCTGCGTTCAAGAGACTTGGTTCCCCTGTCGCAGCCTTTTTTCCGTTGGGGTCACCAGTTTTTTTGTAAAACTGGGTTATCTGAAAAGGGAGCCCTTATTGCCAGGATACTGGGTCTGAGGTTTAGGGGTTAGGGTGTCCTAAACCCTAAACCCTAAACCCTAAACTAAACCCTGGGATCCTAGGAGATGAAGGCATCTAGGCAGGAAGATGTGGCCATGATTCTCAGCAAGATTAAGAATGTCTCAGACTTCAACAAGACCCTTCGCTGGATGAGCCTGTGCCATTGTTGAAGTACGGCTAGGATTTAGGGTTTGTTTAGGGCTTTCGGGAGGACCCCAGACATATGGACTTGTGACAGGTCCCCTTAAGGATTACAATAATTACCTGACAGGCTCGGAGCCCCCCCGACACAACTGCCGGTAGTACGCGTTGTCAGGACAGTGGTTTCTCTGTGGGTGTTTTCCATACTGCTGGCGTTGCAGGCTACCATAAGACTTGAGACCATGAATTTGACAGCCGCCCAAATATGCCTACATATATTCAAGCACGAGAGCGCAGAGGACATGGCTTTGTCAACTCATGCTAGCACCCTGACGGTTCAAGTACTTTAGAAACATGATTTCGGAAGATCCCAAAATTCTGGACCAATTTTGGTAGCCATAAAAATTAGGTGCTGCAATATAACCTCTAACCCAAAGGGGTTCAGAATTTTGAGAACAACCTATCTAACTCCCAAACAGCCGAGACCCGAAGGACGGCTACTGGAAGCTTGAGTCCCTAAGGTTGATCCTACTCAGACCTCCAGGGTAAAGGGTTTACCTGGACCCCCAAAGTATGTAACATAGTTGCCTTTATGGCTGTTATTATGGGTTTAGGGTTATTATTTTACATACCTTTGGGGTTTAGGTAGGGCCTGAACCCTAAACCTTGTTTGGGGTGCAGTCGGGCTTCCTTGGGGATACTACGAGTTTTCACCATGGCTTACATGCATGCAAATGGTAGGTTCCCAAAATAGGGGGACCCCAATATAGACCCCCAAATACTATAATCCTTATTATAGGGACCCCCAAAAATGGTAACCCTAATTTGGGAAACCCTCAAATTTCGGGGTTTCGGGGGCGGCTGAGTAGCTTCGGCTAAGCAAGCCGTACACCCTAATCCTAAAACCCCAAACATACCCTAGAAGCCCAGTTACCCATATATTGGGTTCCGGTCCGTAAGTCCCTATATACATTTATACTATCTATAACCCAAGAACCCACTATATGGGTACCTGGGCTTCTAGGGATATAGATCCTAAACCAACCAACCAACTTAACCTTCCGCCCGAAACGCTGACTTAGGATCCTTGACGAGTCTGATGGACTGTTCTCACAATGGAAGGATGCACTGAGCAAGCGTTCAAGAACATCTTAGCTTTTAGGGCTTAGGGGTTGGAGGTTGGAGTTTGGATTTAGGGTTCCTTACGTATTGCAAGACATATCTTGTAGATCTGTAAGCTGGCCATTTGTGTTGGGAAGGATGCGGTGAGCCTGTCAGCCTCCTTGGCAAAGATGGCCACGCGATGCGCCAGTCTGGACACGCTGGAACGGACATTTGAGCGCACTCAGGGATAGGGCTTTTGCCTGGAGAGTGGTGGTAGTCCCTACGCATCCCGTCCCCATCATGCCTAACCTGTGTAGACCTTCGTATGTAGCACATGTCTACCTGGCAGATCCCTAGAACCTAAACCCTCAACTCTCGACCCAAAAGACCTTATAAACCTAAACCCTAGCGCCCTAAATCCACAACCTGAACCACAGATGTATACCAAAGCCTTACCGTTTTAGCTTCCTATGTCGGTGATGACTGTACCGAAGCTGTAGCCGCGCGACGCACAGACGCGTGAGCTTTTCCTGACAGGTGCTTGCGCGACTGCATGCACACGTGTAAAGCTGTTCCTGGCAGGCTGTTTCTTTCCAGGCCTTAATTCGTTCGTGCAGCTGCCTACGCGCAGTTGCTCTAAGGGTCTAAGTGCCCCATAATCAAACTTTCCAAGCCTATACTACAACTACTAGCACCAAGGCCCCCATCATTGGGCACCTCGTCCCTTAGGGAGTTGCTGTCACGCTGTTCACTCCGGATAGTCATGCATGTGGAGGTTCAGGATAATTATAGCCCACATAACTGGCGTTTACTATCAAATTGCAACCACATTAGTGGGATTATTACAATTGGGCTATGAGTACGGCTAGTGGGGCCATGATTGCCCTGAACCTCCAAGTAGCGAGCAGCACATCTTGTGGGTACTGCCTCCACTCGGGAACATTTGGATAATATCTATACTAAAGGTGCAGAAAGCTTTAGTAATGACCCTATTATAGACTGCTACTGACTATGTTTTAGCTGTATGAAGCCCGTAATATTACCCCTATTATATTACTGAGTGAGGGGCAGTACCCAAAGCACATCTTGCAAAAATCCAGGCTCTCTGGATGCTAGGGTTTACGGTGTAGGGTTCAGGGCTTGGGGTTTGGGGTTTAGGGGTTAGGGTTGGATGGGGCTATGCAAGGGTTGTATACTGAAATGGGATGGGGTGTCCCTACTGAGGTCTGATGTCCAGGCATGGAGGGCTACTGATATTTCCTGGGCTAAATCTTTTGAAGGAGTGCGCCACTGTCCCCATGGCATGGACCCTTTATCTATTTTGGGATCCTGTTCGACGCAGCTTCAGGTTTAGGATCCGGTTTTCCTTTTGTCATTCACAGGATCTTTGGATTTCTAGCCTCTTGAGCTTCATGATTTCCTAAACCCCAAAAGTATGTAAAATAATGGCCTTTAGGGCTATTATTATGGGTGTAGGGCCATTATTTTACACATTTTTGGGGTTTAGGTTGGAGTTCAGAGAACTTTGACGCCCAGGATTCATGGGTTTTTCGGGTTCGAGCTTTAGCATTGCTGGTCCTTAAATTGTAGCTGCAAGACGGTCCGCACACATTGCTAATCAAAAGCCAAAACCCAGAGGGTCCATGTACCCAATAATTAGGTACCTGGGATTTGGGTAATAGTAGTTACAATACAGGTTTTGGGTAAGTATATGATTATTAGGTCTTTGGACCCTTCGGGAAAGCCTCAATAGGCATACTCCAACTCCAGATGTTAACTCCACAGACGAAGCCCTCAAGCCCCCCCAGCAAAGTCCAAAGCCTAACCTTAAACCCTAAACAGTCCAAGGACGTCGACATCATTGTCATATAACTTGGGCCCCAAAGTATCTGTGTCATGTCCTATATGGTAGCTTCCGTGAATAACCCAGTACCTAAGTACCTGGGATTCCGGTACATGATTGCTGAGTACCTGGACCCCCAAACTTAGCCGGCTTAGCCCCAAATCCTGAAACATATGTTGCTGAAATTACCCTAAACCAAATTGTTGGGTTGAGGCCCTGAGCCCTCAACACATCAGGGCAAAAACCCTAAAAGGCTATGAGAAAAGCATTCAAACCATGGCATCTGTGACCGAAGATCCAGTTTTGTGAGCACAAGGGATGAAACCCATCGTAACCGTGACTATAATAAAAGAATCCACCTAATCCATGATGCTATTATTCTGGGGAGGTTTATGATGGGTGGGGGGGGGCGGTGGCGGGGGTCATTACTAGCATCTGAATTGACAGGGACAGGATTTGACCATGCAACCCGGTAAGCTTTTCTAGCGTCTGGGTTTGTCAAAACGAGCGTCGAGTCTTAGGTATATGCGGGGTTGATGCGTGCCGTATACACGTGCTTTCTTCTTGAGGTTTCTACCGGCAAGGATTACGTACATGAACCCTCCCCCAACATTAGAATAGGCCCTAGAATGGCTATTGTGCTTTCAGAAGGCCTTATGCGTTTCCATGTTTAGTCGGAAGGGGGGCCTTCAAGCTTTCCAATCCTATCCCATATAACCCGAAAAGCCTAACTCTGAATCCTCAACCCTCAACCCACACTCGCAGCATGCTCTCATGTTCTTCACTGCGGCGGAGGAGTCTTATATCTCCCTCCTCTCAATTATGGGTCCTGCATATCACTTGTAGGGCGGGGGCAGTATCCAATGTGGCCCCTTCAACCTTAAACCCTCAACACTGAACCCTAAAAACCTAAACCCTAACCCGCGTGCTCAGTGCGGCGGAGAAGTCTGACGGCGGCGATTGGGAGAACGAGTCCCTAGGTCCCACGGAGGCACCGCTTTTGACAGGGGATGATATCCCATCCTAAGCTCTGGGCTAAGGGTTTACAGCTCAAAGAACTCAGTGTTTGGGCTAAAGGCTCCAATGACATGCATAGTATGTACTCGGCGCCCAAGCGGCCTCCACATTTACGCGGAATGCATGGGCCGAAGTATATACGATGTGGGTACTTGGACGCCTGGAGTCAGAAACGTGTGCAGAGAAATCACAAGGTGTATAGATAAGGGTACAGGGATACCGGGGTTTCCAAGATGGTCTGGATACAACAATGAAATTGCTGAAGACTTGCCTGACCTAGGTGGCATTTTAGAGGGGGGGGGGTCAGGGTTGTTGATCGACGACCTAGCACTTAGATGTTTCATTTTGGGGCAATGCTCCGTTGTTTGGGTAATAGGGCTCCGATTAGTCGTCAGTGCATGTGCAACAGCAACCCGTGCACAGCCTAGCTGACTGTTTCTGATGAGCTTGTTCTTGGTTGGTGGCTATTGCGGTGAATCAAGGCTACGAGTACCCGTCCCTACAAACAGTCATTGCCCCGGAAAACTGAACACGCCTTTGCCCACTGATGTTTAAGATTTGTTGTCGGAACTCGCGCATATTGGCGGGCATAATCTTAATGTCAGGGAACATCTGAGTGTTTATATCAAAGTAGGATAAAATAGTAGGATGACGGCATGAGACCTTCAGCCTAAACCCAACTTCCTACATCCCAAAATGCGAATTCAAGCCCTGAAAGCCAAGCCGGTCAACCCTGAATCCCAAACCACAACTTCCAAACCAACAGCCCCAAGTCCTAAACCCCCAAACCCTAAACCCCTAACCCCAAAACCATAAACCCCAAAACCCAACACCCCAAAACCCTGCACACTAAACCCCAAAACCTCAAACCGTCAGCCCCTAGCCTTGACTTACTGGTGGTTAGTAGGGAAAAGGGAATGTTATCGCTATATATAACAACATGTACCCTACTGTAATGCGGTAGCTTCCATTTTCTTTTCCATCATCCCTATATAAGTCCAACGTAGCCCTAAACCCTAAACTCTAAACCCTAAACTATATGAGATATTCCCTTACTCCCTACTAAGCCCCAGTAAGTTGAAATCAATGAGGATGGGCTCAGCTTTTTGGACAGCCGCTTAGGCTCCAGGCGCTCGGTTCAGGGTTTAGGGTTAAGGGGTTTGGGGTTTGGGGTTTAGGTTTAGGGGTTTGAGGGTTTAAAGTTTTTCAGGGTTTAGTTTTTTTTAGGATTCAGGGGTTTAGAGTTTTCGGGTTTAAGGTTTAGGGTTTTAGGGTTTAGGGTTCAAGTTGCAGCCTTCAGGTTTAGGCGTAAGGTTTGGGATGATTTAGGGTTTATAGTCCTCATCAAGTAGATAGAGTATGGGGTACAGGTGCATTCTATTGTGATTTTTTTGGAAATTCCATTCTGTATCTACTCAAGGGGAACTATAGGTGTATAGGTTTGTAGGGTTTAGGGTTTATAGACGAGTGGTTTTTGGCTTCAGGCTTTAGGGGTCAGGGCTTGTCCCAGAGACCTTCCGTTTCAGGGCTTCATGCAGGGAATCATGTTGAAAAGGTTCTTAGACTGGAGACCTTCAGGACCTAAGGTAGGAACCTTAACCCTAAACCCCAATGATGCAGGTGCTTCGGTTTAGGGTTTTGGGTTCGCTGTTCACGGTCTGCAGTTTGTAAGGTCTGGGGTTGGGGATTTTCAGAATTAGAGTTTCAAATCTGGGCTACGGGTAGAAATTCAGGCTTTATGGATATTGTGGGGTCCATGATTTAGGGGTCTAGGGCTTTGTGCACAGCAGCATATGTCGTTTGGCTCGAGTAGGCATTAAGTCATGTCAATCTTAGCAGTAATTACAGGCACCAGCAGTGGCAACCATAAATCCTAAACCGAATGCACGCCTCCAGGGCATTCGGATGGCTAAGCCCCTAAACCCTAAACCAGAGGTGGAATTTAGGTTCCTTGGGTGCTTTGCAGTTTCTGTTCTTGAGCACATATGCCACTTCTGAGAGTAACCAGTGCACCTAAGGTTGCAATGTGCACATGTGCTTCTCGCAATGTCTGACACTAGGATCTGCTAAAGTGTTGGCGCTGAAAGACCAGACCCTGCCAACAAAGTGGCCCTGCCCGACATGGCAGTGGAGTTCGTGGCTCGCATCGCGTCTGTCCTGCCGAAGAACAAGTTCTTCGGCCTTAAGACCGTGCATGGTTCTGGACCCAGATCGAGTGCAGCCTGCTGCTCAGCTCCGACAGCCCGTGGGAGATTGCAGCTGCTTTTGCCGTCGCCGCAGGGGATTTTGGGGTTCTAACCGGGACAGCACCCGCTGCCTGCAGATCCCAATAAACCCATAAGCACGGTAAGCGCTGTTAACCGCATGGACCTTAGAATCCCTATACACCCT